TTGTCTGGAACTGGTTGTGTTAATGGTTTCTCTCTCCATGGTTATGGGGTTAAATGTTTTTATATTTGCAGTTCTCTCGGCGGTGTCTGGGCTACAAGTTACTGAAAAGAAATTAACTAGTGGTAATTCATGTCTCTAATTTGATTCTTTTCCTTTATTACTTCTTTTAAGTTTTGGGTTCCCTATTCCTCTTGGTATTTCCTTTTTTGCTTAGGGTTAGATCTGCTTTGTTTTGAACCCAGGTGAACTCCTCTTGCTTGCTTGTGTCATATTGGTGGGCCTATTTGCTCTTCAGCATTTTGGCACGCACAAGGTAGCTTTTATGTTTGCACCAATTGTGATCATCTGGCTGGTATCAATTTTTTCCATTGGCTTGTACAACATAATACGTTGGAACCCAAAGATTGTTCATGCAATTTCTCCGTATTATATTATCAAGTTCTTTAGAGAGACTGGTAGAGATGGTTGGATTTCTCTTGGAGGGGTCCTTCTCTCAATAACTGGTAGGTTGCATCTGGATATCAATTGAATACAGCGTGGCTTTTATTTTAATTGACTAAATTGATATAGTGGTTGCTGATTCGAATGTTCTGATAATGTGCACCTTTTGGGACTCACTAGGTACTGAAGCTATGTTTGCAGACCTTGGTCATTTCACTGCCTTATCAATTAGGGTGAGTGCAACTCCTCCTTTTGTTCATATATATCATTTCACTCCTGAAGTGTGATAGTAAATTGTGAGTTGAATGTAAGACCTCTATCCCATTGCAATATACACTTCATCCTCTTGCCATCTTAAGCTACCTCGTTTGAACTTAATAATGAGTTGTGTTTTGAATGATATATAATCTAGAAACTTGATAATTTTCCTGGCTTTGCAGCTTGCATTTGCATTTGTGATATACCCGTGTTTGGTTGTACAATACATGGGTCAGGCTGCGTTCTTGTCAAGAAACCTCCAATCGATTCCCAACAGTTTTTATGCCTCAATCCCTGGTTAGTGCAATCTGATATCAACTTTATTGCTTCTAAATATTGTTATAACATTGAAGTTTGTGTAATTTTCCTTTTATCCTTGCAGGTCCTGTTTTTTGGCCTGTCTTTGTAATTGCCACCCTTGCAGCTATTGTTGGGAGTCAGGCTGTTATAACTGCCACTTTTTCTATAATCAAACAATGCCATGCGCTTGGATGCTTTCCTCGAGTCAAAGTTGTTCACACCTCAAAACATATTTATGGCCAGATCTACATCCCAGAAATAAACTGGATACTCATGATCCTTACGCTTGCCATAACTATTGGATTTCAAGATACAACTTTAATAGGAAATGCTTATGGTAATTCATTCTCTTATAAATGTGCCCTTCACCTCAAATATTCTTGAGAAAAATATTGTGGAGACGAAAATATTTGAAGAATGAACTTGTTACAGTAGAACTTTCTTAACAAATTTGTAATATATTTATGATTTTTTCCTCTTTTATCCTGCATCCTCAAGATATTTGTCTTCTAGTGTATCAGCGTATTTATTATGCTTTATATAGACAGTATAGTTCTTGATCATGCAGTTCAGCTTCTAGAGATAGTTCCTTATTGATTGCATGAACTTGCTGTCTTGTCTGTGATGCTGATGTTCCATATTTGGTTTTGGTTTTCAGGACTTGCGTGCATGACTGTGATTTTCATTACAGCATTTCTCACGGCACTTGTAATAACCTTTGTTTGGCAGAAAAGTGTTTTACTTGCTGCAATGTTCCTTCTGTTCTTCTGGTTTATTGAAGGGGTCTACTTATCAGCAGCACTGATGAAAGTGCCTCAAGGAGGATGGGTGCCTGTTGTGCTGTCATTCATCTTTATGATGATTATGTACATTTGGCACTATGGGACTCGCAAGAAGTACAACTTTGACCTGCACAACAAAGTATCATTGAAATGGTTGCTGGCCTTGGGCCCTAGCCTTGGTATTGTCCGTGTGCCTGGGGTAGGCCTCGTATACTCGGAACTGGCAACGGGAGTCCCTGCAATCTTCTCCCACTTTGTCACGAACCTGCCTGCGTTCCATAAGGTGTTAGTTTTTGTTTGTGTGAAATCAGTTCCAGTCCCATATGTTTCACCAGAAGAGCGCTTTCTTATTGGTCGTATTTGCCCCAGGCCATATCGTATGTATAGGTGTATTGTCAGGTATGGCTACAAAGACATCCAGCGGGATGATGGGGATTTTGAGAACCAGCTTATACAAAGCATAGCGGAGTTCATCCAGATGGAAGCTGGAGAACCACAATATTGTAGTTCTGAGAGTTCATCATATGATGGGAGGATGGCTGTTATAAGTACCAGGAGCATCCAATCAAGCTCAAGTTTAATAGTTAATGAGATAGAGGATTTCGATGCAAACAACTCCATCCAAAGCAGCAAATCCCTGACACTACAGAGCTTGCAATCTGCTTTTGAAGATGAGAATCCACTAATTAGAAGGCGCCATGTGAGATTTCAACTACCAACTAATCCTGGTATGGATACTTTCGTCAGGGAAGAGCTGATGGATTTGATCCAGGCAAAGGAAGCAGGGGTTGCATATATAATGGGTCACTCATATGTAAAGGCCAGGAGAACTTCTTCATTTCTGAAAAAGCTTGTGATTGATGTGGGGTATTCATTTCTTCGAAAGAACTGCAGGGGCCCCGCCGTAGCACTAAACATTCCTCATATCAATCTCATTGAAGTTGGAATGATATATTATGTCTAGTCATTTGAGAAGAATAAGAATGGCTAGATGTTACGGTAGCTGTTGCCTTTACGTAGGAACATGGAGGCCCATGGCAAGCAGAGGATTCGTGGAACTTTGGGATATAGTTCTCTCATGCAGAAACTTTAATTTCATAGTAACCTTTTTCCATGTACGTAGTAGATAAATGACATTTTCAGTCATTATTATTCACCTGATCAGTTAATTACATTTCTTTTAGATATGTACTTTTAAGCTGGTTCGAAGAAAAATAAGATCATTGGTTAAAATTTTACTTTTAGTTTAGTTTACAGAATTTGATTTTTGAGGGTTTTTAAAGATTTTTAACAATGTCAAAAAAGGGGTGATAATCCTGAATCAGAAAATTTTTTTTCTTAAGGGTTTATAAGATTTTGGGTGAAGTATAAAATTTATCTCAATTTTGCTTCCAATAAAATAATATTGAAAATAATTAATTATAAAAAATAATGTTTTTAATATAGAAACATTGTAGTTGTTTGAAATATAAGTTGAAAAATTTTAATTTTGAATTAATAGTTTTAAAAACATTATATTTTTTTATATATAAAATGTAATTGATTTTGTATAAAATAATATTAAAAATAATTATTTAAATGATGTCATTTTAAAAAAAAATTGTAGTAGTCTTTATCACATAAAACATCTTTTTTAATTATAAAAAAATTAACTTTTTCCTTGAAAGACACATTTTTTCAAATAACCGTGCTGTATATATGTTCACCTTTAAGTTTTATTTTTGTTACGTACTTCAATTTTTTCAATCTACTTTATTAACCTATTTCAGAAAGTAAACCCTTTGGTTAAAATAGAAGAAATAAGAGAAAATATACTCTTCTCATCCCTAACTAATCAGAGGCTTTCAATGAAAGAACTTGGTAGTAATTTTAGTAGTATTAGCTTACAGGGAAATGACCTTTGATAGGAAGATCTTTGGTGGGAGGAGTTTTGTTAGGAACGGGAAGGAATACCTGATAAATAATGCCGAGGTGTGAAGAATCTACGTATGCCTAACTATTAACTTTTTCAACCAGTCAATCAACTTGAAACTCAACCCTTTTGGATGCTTAGAAGACACCTTTAGGATTTCAATCCTAGCTCTATGCCGTCTCTATTAAAAGCCAACAAAAATGGAAAATCCAAATTAGAGCCAAAAGCATATATGAAGTCCATTTATTTAAAGCATTAGCTTAGAATTCAAATATTTAAAAATTCAAAAGTTTTCATCTCAAGTTACTAATCAATCAAAATCCTACATCCAACATTACATGAAGCAAAACCTAGAAGAGAGGAGTGTTTGTGGACGGTTTTGTTACCCTTCCATTCACGCTAGCCACCACAAAGCAATGGACAGATAAGTTGATACAGAAAATGAAGCCACAAACGAAATGCCTCCAACAAATAATAAAATCTGAGAAGACAACAAAATAATTAAAACAAACAGAATGTGAATAAAAAATTAAACAAAAAAGAACACAAGCAAAAAAAAACTCCAAATCCACATAAAACTCACAATACGATGGGACAATAAAAAAAAGTAAACAACAAAAAAGAAAGACACCTAGAAAAAAAAAAAAAAAAGAAAAGCAAAAGATAAAGATAAGTAAAAGAGGAAACATATACAGAGAAAAAAAAAATAAACATTCTTGAAAAATAAAAAACGTGTCGTTAAAATGTACGTCTCCTTTGAACCAATTAAACTCCCAATTACATCTCATTTAACTTACTTAAAAGACCCAATTATCTCTTACTCAACTAATAAGTATCCAATTAACCAATATTAATAGATGTCACTAAATAAATAAATCCATAACTTAAAATTTGTATGAAGACTGAACAGGGATTAAAAATTATAGTTTGTTATTGATTTAATTAATAAAATTTTTGAATCAAATTAATCAAAAATAAAATTTTTTAAAATTTATTATTGATAATCAATCAAAATTAATTCATTGAATGATCTATTAGTAGAAATTAAAGCTGTTTAATAGATTAAAATCAAAATTTAAACACCTTCAAAATATTCTAACTCCTCCTTAAAATAAAATTATAAGTATAATAATATATTTATACTACTATTTTAAGTAATAGCAAAACAAGAAAAGAAAAAATTTACTACACCTTCTTTTGGGGTTGTGAAGAAAGTTTTACTCGCAGTTGTTGTTTCATTCTTTTTTCATGTTTTTTCGGACACAACTCACTTTTTCTCTAACCAAAACGCAAAGCAAAAAGCCATAACAATTTTTTTTCCCTTTCTTTTGGTTGATGCATTATTATTATTATTATTATTATATGGTTTCGGATCCCTAACTAACCGCTATCCCTCCCTCCGTCCCATGGCCAAAGCATTCACCAATTACAATTGCAAATGCAAATAAATGACATAAACATAATCAAGAGAGACTGCAGTCGGATTCCCATTTTCCTTTAGGTAAATCTCTTTCCTTTTTCTTCAGTTAGTTTTTATCAAGAACAAGAATGCCGGCATTCATCCGTTGTGGATTTAGGAGTTGAATTAGATTAGATCTCTCTTGCTTCCTAGATCCTTTGCTTTGTTTCTCTGTATCTACACCAGAACCAGATGCTGCTATATGATTTTCTTTTCTTTTCTCTTATATATGACTTGAATGAATATCAGCTATCGTGCCTTTCTTCCATTCATATTATGTCTTCATTCCTCAACAAGTTTAGTTTATCGCTGCTGCCAATCAATAAATACTAATATAATCGCCTCCTTTTTTTTTTTTTTTTTATTGTATGGTAAAAAGTACGTTGATTGAGTTATTCTGATCCGGCTGCTTTCTTTACTCCTCTATCTTTACCTTACCTGTTTTAGGTTTGCTCATATGGTAGCTTAATTTGGCATACTTCTTTCCTTTATATACTTTCTCACTTTTTTTTTTAATATTCTAATTTCAATTTTTTCTTTTCTTTCCAAATGTATGAATCTTAGTCCTTGATTATCTGCAGCCATCACTTTGTTCATTTAATTTTTTCCCCTTTCAAATTTCTCTGGTCACAATCATTCAACGTGGGCTCCGAGGCCCTTCCTAAGGGATATCAGAGGATTCACACAACTGTGTTGCAGGAGACTACATTTATTGCCAATATCTACTCTAGCTAAGCTTAAGTTCTCTACTGCATTTGGATTTTTCCAAAGGGGATTACACTAACCATGGGAGAGTGGGTCATTGGAGCATTCATCAACCTATTTGGCAGTATTGCCATCAACTTTGGGACAAACCTTCTTAAATTAGGTCACAATGAGGTATGAAAATTGCTATTTTTTTCCCTTTCGCCTTCCTATTCCCAAGTCATGTTGATCAATTGCTTTGTCAGATATATTAAGCATTCTTTAAATGCTACCCAAGTCACACAATTGTCTTTGTACTTACATACATGTTCATGTTGCTGCATAAGCATTCCACTACACAAGAAAAACATATATTAAAACCCGTATGCGCAACTTATGCTGCTATTAGTAGACCTGAGCATTGTAAAAATCTTGCTTTCATGTTAGATCAGGTCTGCATTCCATTAATCTGATGGGTTTGTCGCTTATTTGGATTCAAAGGAAATGTGTTTCTGTTTTTTTTTTTTTTCTTAGTGTGCAGTGAAACATTATCAAAAGTGAAAATTAATGTCTTTTGTTTCTATACCACATCATTCAGTAACTTGTCCATTCTTTGCTCTATGAGAGAGCATGCAAGGATATCAACTATTTTTTGTGACAGCTCTTATTTTCAATCTTAATACCATTTTACTTGTCTCATTGGGTCTACCTCTATTCACAGAGAGAAAGACATTCAACAATGGATGGTGAAGGAATTTCTGGAAAGATTCCATTGAAGCCTATCATATACTTCCAAACTTGGAGAGTTGGTATAGTTATAGTCTTATGGCGCTAAATCAAATAAATGGGTGTTTATTTCTGCTATATGTGGAATGACTTAAAGTTAAAATGTAATTCTTCATTTGTAGGTTTTCTCTTTTTCATTCTTGGAAATTGCCTAAACTTCATTTCCTTTGGTTATGCTGCTCAGGTCTGTACGCCCAGCCTTCTGATCTGAATAGTTTAAATTTATATGAAATTGCATATTAATTTTCCTCCATAAGGAAGCTCTAAGATTAAGAAGCTACATTAAATGTGTTTACACTAAATGTGTTGGGCTTGATGTATTAAGTTTTATCCTTATCCCTTTGTTGTTGGTAAGTAGCTTTAGGAAGCTGGATAATGATTACTTGTTTACTTTTTATCATGGACAATTTTTTATTTGGGACACTGCAAGCAACATGGTCAACTATTTTTGGGATAAAGGAAGTCTTGGTTTTAAGTATTTTTGTAATTACCACTGCACCTTTTGCTAGTTTGAACATTATTCTTGTGTTTTAATAACTCTGTATGTTTCTTTTCTAGCTTATTTCTTTTCCCTTCTCACGTTTTCCCTCTTTCTTCCTCCTTTGCAGTCACTTCTTGCCGCCTTGGGATCTGTTCAGTTTGTATCCAACATTGCATTTGCTTACTTCGTGTTAAACAAAATGGTTACTGTAAAGTATGTTTTAGTCTGAAGGAAGAGTTAAATTTTGATAACTAGAACTGAGTTGTCACTTTTATTTCCCAGAATATTGTCTCTAACTCTGTCTCATTGTCATTGATATTGCTTCCAGGGTACTAGTAGCCACTGCGTTTATAGTTCTTGGAAATATTTTTCTTGTCGCCTTCGGCAACCACCAATCTCCTGGTATCTGACGTGACTTGATTTTTAGACTTTATTGTATTAGCTTTGAAATCCTGATTGCATTCCTTCCTCCTGACCATCGGCCGTATGAGGAAAAGAGAAAAGAAAAGACATACAACAGTACATACATATAAATGTGTTGTTTATATATATCTATATAATACATATATATGTATTATATTTATAAACATTGAGAGAGAGACTTGTCCACGTGCATACAATGGAGACAGCTTTGGTTTCACTGGGTTTCTGTTTCCTTTTCAGTTTATACGCCGGAACAGTTGGCAGAGAAATACGGCAACATAACATTCCTTCTTTACTGTCTGATTTTGATCTTACTTGTTGCATTGCATCACTCTATCTACAGGTGAGATTTGAGAGCCAGCTATTTTACTCATGCTAACGTGTTACATTTTAGCCATTTGTTTAATTGATTGACATGCCTTAACATGCAAACATTCAGGAGAGGGGAACTTCTCCTTGCTGTTTCCGGGCAAGACCTTAGACCATATTGGAACATGCTGCTTCCTTTTTCATATGCGGTAGTTTCGGGTGCTGTAGGATCATGCTCAGTTTTATTTGCAAAATCTCTGTAAGTTGGCTGTTTTAGATGTCATTAGTGTTTCGAGTAAAGTAGCATTGTGATTAATTCTAATTGTGATTTTCATGTTATCCAGCTCTAACCTTCTAAGGTTGGCGATGTCCAATGGTTATCAGTTGCACAGCTGGTTCACATACTCCATGATACTTTTATTTCTTAGTACAGCTGGATTTTGGGTAAGAATTATGGCAGAACTTGTATTGTTATTCTTCTGCCATTAAGAGTGATTTTAGGAGAACTTATACTGAGCTTTCCTACTGCAGATGGCAAGGTTGAATGAAGGGTTGTCACTCTTTGATGCAATCCTGATTGTTCCCATGTTTCAAATTGCTTGGACTTTCTTCTCCATTTGTACAGGATTTATATACTTCCAGGAATATCAGGTTTTCTCTCTCTCGCTCACACACACACAACAAATGCATATTTTGTCTATATTCTTGGTTCAAATCACCTCACTCCCTATCCCCCATGAATTATTTTTCAGTGTAATATGTCTTCAATGCAGTGAGATTATTTTGCTGAACTTCTTGGAGAATTTCAATGCATAGTTGTTCTGAATAGATCCTAAATTGTTGTTTTTTAACTGAGCTGCTTTTTTCTGCAATTGGTTACAGGACAGCCTTCTATAAATTTTAGACTATAATGTTGCTATTAAATAAGTAGTTATCATTCATTAAAAGAGAACTAAGTGAAAATTGATGGCTTTTGTCCATTAGTCATGTAGCAAGACTGTAAAGCTAATCATGCAGGTAGTCTGCACAAGCCAGTATTCTTCTAGCCCCTACCTTCTGGATAATGGAATTAGATGACCTAAAAGGGCTTTTTTTTTTTTTTGTTTAATAAAACAGGTGTTTGATGCACTGAGGACAACTATGTTCATACTAGGAATGTTGTCTGTGTTCATAGGCATTTCATTATTGGCACCTGATGAGTCAAGAGGTACTTAGAGGAGTTTTGCAATTCTGTGTATAGAGCATTTAAAGGCTGTAGCTTATTCTTACTTTCATCTTTTAGGTGGTGAAATAAAGGAGAATTCACCTCTAGATTCTGTTATGTCTTCCAGCAGTTCGACTGAAACTGACAGGTAAAAAGCAGATTTCTTGTTGTTGTCAAACAACCTGTGGATCCTTCAAAGGTGTAATAGATGAGAGCTGATGACATGTTGACAAATAAACAAATTAATAATTTTTGTCTTTTACCATTATTGAGGTTATAAGTGCCTACATGTACCTGCATAGTTTTCAACTGAATAAATTTGTACTTAACCGACTGTTGGCATTTTTTCCCCTCTTAGGTTGATCTTTCCATCCAAAGATGCACAAAATAAGGAGACAAAATCATTTATGCAAGGAATGATGATGAAGATCACTGATATGCTGGCCAAGGCAAAGGTACTGCAAATTGGATTTGTAGACTTGTCTTTTAACAAGATTATTGTGACACTCTAATTTAGTGCTAAAATTGATACAGCTATTCCCTTTGCAGACAACATGTTCGTTATCACTAGGTTTTGGAGAGGATTCCATCAATGCATCTTCGGTACTTGTAATGCCTATGGTGTCATCAAAGATAACAGGCTTTAGAGGAAGTGGGTTTGATCGGAATCGGATATTCTCCATGAGAAATTCTAGTTGGAGTAGGGTTGCAATGAATGAAGATAGTGCAAAGATGTTGAATGGAGGTCCTCTCCCTCAAAGCCTCCAATAGGGAGAGCAATGAACAATGAGCATTGATCTTTGATTCTTTTCCTTATCTTTCGTCTTTAGTAACACGATAGCTTAGGATTCGATTTGTTCTTGTGCGATTTGTTGAACATATTCTTGCTTATAGAAGCATCACTTATATGTTACTACATTGTATAATCTTTCTTAATTGATTGAACTGAAAGGAAATTCCGAATTTGGAGCATGTAATTAAGAAAAAGCATACTGCTGGATTACCATGCCCTTTTTGGGTAAATATGATGATTTGTGTTCTTGTGTTATATAAAATATAAAAATTTATATATTTATAATATATTTTAAACGTGTGACAAAAATATGAAATTTATATTATTTTGGTTTTATTAAATTTATATAAATTGTTATTAAAATTTTAAATTATATTATTTTTATATTTTTTAATAATATTTATATCGTGTCAACGTAAATAGACAGGCTTATTTTGCTAATCATTCCGAATCAAATTATTGAAGATTGTACTACATATTCATGTCATAACTAGATTTTGCTTAAAGATTGCAGACGTAACAAGTCAAAAAAAAAAAAATCTTTCGGCCAAAACAAAATGTCAAAATCTACCGAATGCAAATATTATAAACATATTTTCTTCTACTTCTGACGTTTAAAAGTACGAAAATCATAACCAGAAAGGCAAAGCAACGATTCACTTCAAAATAAAAAATAATAATAAAAAAAGGATCAGGATTTAGGAAAAGGCATTTGGGGATAAATAAGAAAAGAGAAGAGAAGTTTGAAGTGAATGCCAAGCATAGCGCTTGACGGTAACAGCCAAAAGGCCTATGCAGCAGCATGCAGTTGAAGTTGGCGACGCTAAGTAAAGCAACAGCAACAGCTCGTCCTATAGATGCAGACACATGCATCTCCTTGATAAAGAAATGCCACACTCTCAAGTCTCTGAAAACTGTTCATGCCTCCATCCTCAGATCCCACCTCCACCTCAATCTCCATTTCTTCACCAACCTCATATCCCACTACGCTTCTCTTGGTTCCATTGCTTACGCATACACTCTCTTTTCCTACTCCAACTCCTCCAATGATGCTTTTCTTTGGAACGTCATGCTGCACGGCCTCGTCGACAATGCCCAGTACCATCGCTCCTTGCTTCTTTATACCTGTATGCCACATCTTGCCATTGCACCTGATAACTTCTCCTTTCCCTTTCTTCTCAAAGCTTGCGCTTCTCTCCGCAATCCCAATTTGGGTTCTCAGCTTCACGCCCATGTCTTCATATACGGGTATTCCTCTCACATGTTCGTTGCTAACTCGCTTATCTCCATGTACGCTAAATGCGGGCTTTTTGCTGTTTCGAAAAGAGTGTTCGACAAAATGCCTCACAGAAGTGCAGTGTCGTGGAGTGCAATGATTGGAGCGTACTCGCAGAGTGGGTTTCACGAGCAAGGGTTGCTGCTGTTTACCAGGATGTTGGATGAGGGAATCAAACCAAACAGGGCTTCTATTTTAAATGCCACGGCTTGCGTTTGGCGTGAGAACGTGGCTCATAATGTGTTTAGAGTCATCATGGATAATGGACTTGATATGGATCACTCCGTGCGAAATGCTACCATGCTCATGTTTGCTAGATGTGGAAGAATTGACATTGCTAGAAGCTTGTTTGATGGGTTTAAATATAAGGATTTGGTGTGCTGGGCCTCCATGATTGACGCATATGCTCATGCTGACTTGCCTCTTAAAGCTTTGCATCTCTTTAACCAAATGAGATTGCAATGTCTCCTTCCCGATTCTATTATCCTTCTTGCTGTGATTCGAGCTTGTTCCATACTAGCTTCTTTGAACCAGGCACGAATCCTTCACGGAGTTATTGTTCGTTGTTTTCTGGAGAGTCAATTAGTGCTAGATACCGCTGTTCTTGATCTTTACGTGAAATGTGGGAGCTTAGCATATGCTAGAACCGTTTTTGATAAGATGAAAGAAAAGAATATTATCTCCTGGAGCACTATGATTCGCGGGTATGGTATGCATGGCCATGGTAGAGTAGCACTTCATCTCTTTGATCAGATGAAGGCCTTAATAAAGCCAGACCATGTCACATTCGTATCCGTATTGTCAGCATGTAGTCATGCTGGGTTAATTGCAGAAGGATGGGAGTGCTTTAATTCCATGATAAGAGATTTTGGGGTTACACCAATATCTGAACACTACGCATGTATGGTTGATCTCTTAGGCAGAGCTGGGCAGTTGAATCAAGCCTGGCTATTCATTCAGAGGATGCCTTTGAGGCCGGATGCTGCTGTCTGGGGCGCACTGCTTGGAGCTTGTAGAATTCATTTAAACGTAAAACTGGCAGAAGTGGCAACTAAATCATTATTTGATTTGGATGGGGAAAATCCTGGAAGATATGTTCTATTGTCCAACATATATGCATCATTGGGGAAAAGAAAAGAAGCTAATAGGTTTAGATATTTAATGAAAAGTAGAGGTGTAAGGAAAATAGTTGGTCGCACAATTATCGAGATTAAGAACAAGATCTATACGTTTGTGGCTGGGGATAGATCACAGCCTGAAATTGATGTAATCTATTTAGAGTTGGACAAACTTATGGGGAGGATTAGACAACAAGGGTATGTACCAGATTTAAGCTTTGTATTGCATGATGTGGATGGGGAGACAAAGGAGAAGATGTTGTATGCACACAGTGAGAAGCTGGCCATTGTTTTTGGGCTGATGAATTTGGGACATGAAAGTTTGATTAGGATAACAAAGAATTTGAGAGTGTGTGGGGATTGTCATACTGCTATAAAGTTTATCTCTAAGGTTACGGGAAGGGAAATTGTGGTGAGAGATGCCCACAGATTCCATCATTTTATGAACGGAACTTGTTCTTGTGGTGATTATTGGTGATGGTGTTCTTGCCCCAATTATTGACGTTGCTAATGCAATTTGGTGGCCCATCGGATACTGATCTTTTTTATTAAATAAAAATGTTCAGCGTTAAAATTTTTTGTTTTATCATTTTTATTCTTTTTTTTTTTCAAAATTTATCTAATTAAAAAAAGATAAAAAAAAGAGAAGACAAAAAAACAAACAAAACCCAAATATGGGTGACACATTGATATTTAAATTAATCTCCTATTATCACAAAATATATCCATTTTCAATTTGGCTAATAGTCTTAATTCATCTAATTAGTTGGACAAATTAATTAGAATCATTAAACACGGAGTGAAATATTGAACTCGCAAAAAATAACAAACCATCATTAGCAATTAAAAGAATGAAAACACCGGTCCAGATGCAAGTAATCCCGGCTTCTTTAGGCGGCAAAAGTTTGCTTGTTTCAGCTGACACAGACTCAGTGAAAACTGCTTCCTTTTTTATTCCAATTATTTCTCTTTGTGCAAATTTTTGCCTTAACAACTTCTCAAATCACAAATCTAACACCAACTAGGAGCTGTATATCCAAGTTTAGGACCAAGTTAAGTTGCTTGGAAAAGGTTTTCCATTCAAAACTGAAGTTTTGGTTGGTGAAGATCCCATGGCTAGAAAACTCTAATGCATTCAGCAAGGAGCGAAACTGAATATTGGAACACCAAGGCTTATTGATCTTTTAACAAAGCATGATATTGGACTAAATTGTGAAAAGATATTTGGTCTGGATGGAGTGGACTGCATGATTCAAAGGGGCTTCGGGACCAGGTGATGCAGGATTTTAGGGCTCTATCACAACCCAGGTACTGATGTATTCTGCAACAATTTCACAAGATATAGAGAAAATGGCAAGTTCTGTGGCAACAGATATTATTAATGCTTCGATTGGCAAGCCTAAGAGGCCAGGTAGGGCCGTGAAGCAGCTATCCATATGGGTTGAGTCAAAAGCAAAAGCTTTTTGACATATAAAGGAGCATGCATTTACGCCACCTGCTATGGTTTATGTGGGTTCTAGAGCTCACTACAAAATATGTTCCATATACTTATGCTTAATTATTAATATTGTTAGAATATATCATATTTATACCAATATTTTATTTAATCATTAGTATAAATAAATTTTTTGTGACAGTATATAACTATCCGTCAGTATAAATATGTTATATACTGACAGTTATTAACGTAATTATCAGTATAGGCTCAAAATAAAAAAACTATTAGCTTACAAAAAATTGAATAGGATTATTAAATGTATTTTTTTTACCAAAAACGCATTTAATATCCATTTAAAAAATTTTGGAGATAGATTATTAAAAGTATTTTTCACCAAAAATGCTTTCAATAATCTATACAAAAATTTTTTTATGAATTATTTACTGACTGTTAAATTCTGTCAGTAAAAAAGATTTTTACTGATGGATTTTTAATACCGTCAGAATATACTATATTTATACCAACACTTTATTTAATCGTCGGTATAAATAAACTTTTTTTGATGGTATATGACTATCCGTCATTATAAATATGTTATATACTGATGGTTATTAACGTAATTGTTAATATAAGCTCAAATAAAAAAACTATTGGCTTACAAAAAATTAAATGGGATTATTGAAAGCGTTTTTGGCAAAAAACGTCTTCAATAATCCATTCAAAAAATTTTGGAGAAAAAATATTAGAGTTATTTTTGGTCAAAAATGCCTTCAATAATCTATATAAAAAATTTTGGAGGAGATTATTGAAGTATTTTTGTTCAAAATTACGTTCAATAATCTATACAAAAAATTTTGTTGAGGGGATTATTGAAGGTGTTTTTGACAAAAAATGCTTTTAATAATCCTCTGAAAAAATTTGAAAGGAATAATTGAAGGCGTTTTTTTACCAAAAACGCCTTCAATAATTCCTTTCAAATTTTTTCAATAATCCCTTATAAAAATTTATTGAGAAAATTATTAAAAGCGTTTTTAGTCAAAAAATGCCTTAAAAGATCCCTTATAAAAATTTATTGAGGGGATTATTGAATGTGTTTTTGACTAAAACGTATTTAATAATCTTTTAAAAAAATTTGAAATGGATTATTGAAATCGTTTTTGATAAAAAAATACCTTCAATAATCTCTCATAAAAATTTATTAAAAAAATTATAGAAAGGAGTTTTTGACAAAAAATACCTTTAATAATCAATTTATTGAAGGGTTATTGGCAAAAAACGCTTTCAATAATCCTTTGAAAAAATTTAGAAGGATTATTAAAAAATGCTTTCAATAATTTCTCATAAAAATTTATTGAGGGAATTATTGAAGGTGCTTTTGACCAAAAACCCTTTCAATAATCCCTCATAAAAATTTATTGAGGGGATTATTAAAGCATTTTTTACCAATAATATTTTCAATAATCCTTTATAAAAATTTTATTGAAAGGATTATTAAAGGCATTTTTAGTCAAAAATGCATTTAATAATCCCTTGAAAAATTTGAAAATGATTATTGAAGGTATTTTTGATAAAAAAATACCTTCAATAATTCCCTGAAAAAATTTGAAAAAGATTATGACAAAAAACGCCTTCAATAATTCCTTATAAAAATTTATAGAGGGGATTATTGAATGTATTTTTGGCCAAAAATACCTTTAATAACTCATAAAAATTAATTGAGGAGATTATTCAAAGCGTTTTTGCCCTGAAATACCTTGAATAACCCTATTGAATTTTTTATCAGGGATTATTCAAGGTATTTTTGACAAAAAAACACCTTAAATAATCCTAAAACAATGACGGGCTTATGAATTTAAATAATTTTTTTACCTCTACCTTTCACCAAGTCTACATATTTAATCTTCACTTCCCACCAACTTTCTCCACTTGTCGGTACCTATAGCCTAATCTCCACCTCACACCAATTCTCTCAACCTCTCACCGACTTTACAAATTTAAACCCATCAGCATCCATTTTGTTTGAGAGTTAAATCAAAGTTAAAGCATTTTTCATTTTTTGCATTTCAATTTTATGTCATCGACATGCATTTTTTGTATTTTTTGTTGTATTGGATAAATTTAAGCTCAGCCTTTGTCATCTTGAAAAGTAGATAAGGGCCTAAAAATGTTATTAACGACACCATTTTTGTTAATGGAATAGCTTCAATAGAAAAAATAGATGAAAACTTCATCTATTCTATTGTGAATTGGTGGCCTTTTGATAAATATGACTATGGAAGGGAAGAGCTTCTTTTCTTAATCTAGCAAGCAGCTTATTCTTAGGCCTCTCAGATGAAAACATTATAGAAAAAATCTTTCTTTTTGAAATTTTAATGCCTGCTTCACTTTTATAGGAATTTCTTAAATAGCAATGTGGCTGATCAGGAAATGAATTATGTGGCTTTAGAATTGGAGCAACAGTTGCAGCAGATCAATATGCATTTGATGTGAATAATCTTTAAAATATTGTTCAAAATATATATAAAAGATATGATGTTCAGCCATTAATAATAGCACCAAGAAGATTCTTTTATGCAAACTTCGAGCACCATGTTTGTAGACATTCAATCATAGATATTAATGTTTTTTTTTTTTCTAGATTTGGTACAATGATATTAGTTCCTAACTTATTTTAAATTTGTGGATTATAAAATAATTTGGCTGTTATTTTATTTTAAATGTTATTAAATATTTTATTTTTTGTGTATTTTTACTTTATATGAAAGCATATCATATTATGATTATAAATAAATTAATATTAATAATTCAAAATATAATTCAAAAAAAAGTTTTTACTAACGTTTTAAAAGTTATATCGATGCATTTTACTATTAAAATATTTCATGCTATACTGATAGTCATCACGGACCGTCGATAAAAGGTATAATGGTAGAACACACAATAGATTCTATACAAATAGATATACATTTATTAACGGTCTTGAACCATAGGTATATCTTTGTAAGCTATTCCGACACTTTAAAAATCATCAATGTAGGTTTATATCGACAAATGATATACTGACAGGTAAAAATTCATTGGAATACACATTTTAACCGTCGATATAGGGTTTATAGTGCTATATTAACAGATTTTGGGGTTTTACTGACATTTTTTGAGTGTCACTATATGTCAGATTTCTTGTAATGGCTGGGGCAAATCTCCTATCCATTGCAAATGCCATCACCACTGGAATTAAAACTTTGTCAATACATAAGGAGTAAGTCCATGAAAGAGAGAAATATTGAGGTTGTTTTAGTTGGAGAAGTTTTCGTGATTGTGCCACTAGAGTTTTGGGTCATAGAAATGATATTTTAGGTGTGAGACAAATCATAGGGTTCGATGTGCCTAGTTCCATTGAGGAGTATGTCCATCAGATTGGTAGGACATTTAGACTAAAGGAGGAGGTAAGGTTTTAAATAGCGCTTGCAACACGATATAATGGTTGTTATTTAATGGTAGCACTGCCAACTGCTTTTGTTATTCATTCGTGATGGGGTGTGATTGGTAATCACACTTATAATGGTTGTTTATGGTCGCAAATAATGGCATAACGAAAAAATATGATTATAACGGGATGTTAAAATCACTATTTATGCTTTTTCTTTCATTAAATAAAATGAAAACTCAAACTAAAACAGTAAGAAAACCATGCCCCAAGTCCAAACTATTTAATTAAATTTAAACCTTAATTAAAATAATCATAACATAGGCAGTGTAAAGATAAAACTCTAGTAAGGGAACCAACCTTCAAACCATCAAACCCATTTCATCAAGGTATGGGATCCTTTGGTTTAGCAACTTAAGAATTATATGATCCCATAAAGCAATTGCAAATGGCTCCCAAATCAATCCAATGGAAGGGAGAGAGTGGATAATCGCTTGAGGGAAATACAAGAGGGAGGTTGATGTCAAATATAAATTAGTTTTTATTTTTTATTTTGGCCATCTCTTTCATTTACTTTTTGGAAAATGGGTATTTGAATTTTTTTTATGATTTGGATAAAAATTTAATAGAGTGGTTAGTTGTTAAATAGTTAATTTAATTTTTAATTATCTAAAAAATAATTTTATAATAAAATTTTAATATTATTAAGTATATTTATTATTAATTTTTTTTATACCTAATATTTTTAGATAAAAAAATTTTGAACAAAAGCTAATAATGACGGCAAATAAGTTTTTGGGAATGTTTTGAAGATTTTAGAGTTTTTGGGAATGTTTTGAAGATTTTAGATGAAAACTTTGAAAGAAAATGAGAGATGATATGTACAAGTGATTTTACATATATCTATTCCACAAAATTAGATTTTAATACATTTACCTTAATAATTGTACTTAAAAATATTTAAATGTTCATTATTATTCTTTTTAATTAGATTAATTTATAATATTAATTTCATAATGATAATTTGTCATCAATGATATGCATTTATAGCATTTAGATTGACAAAATTCATGGATATATTAATGATCAACATTTTAGATATGTATATTGATTTATGATTCAAAACTAAAAGATTTAAAATATTTATTTTAATATATACATTAAAGAATTAAAATATTATAAATTATTTTAAATATAATAAGCATGTTTATAATTATTATTTATTTCATTTTATGATAAGTTGTTCAAAATTTTAAAAAAAATTATGACCGCGATAAATGTGATTATCATTATTTTATTTGTTATCTTCGCAATCATAATAAATGTGACGTGATCGAAAACGAGATTTAAATCCATAAGAAGAGGGTGTGGCAATTGTTTTCGTGAATGAGGAGAACAAGAATCTGCGTCCAGAGTCGGTTGGTATTTTAAAATCTTCTGGAGCAGTTATTCCTCGAGAACTTTGTAATTCACCGCATGCAGCTGTTTCTTTTCCATCAGGCAAGGGCTTTAAGCAAAGGAAGTACGGTTGCTGAAGCTGCGCGCCTTTGATTTGTTGGCCTAATTTTCAGTTGAGAACCTTGTAACTTGTAAGTATTTAGTAGCGACCAACCATCATCACGGTTAAGGAAGCCGAAAATGCAAAAGCTTTTGCTTTGAACTGATTGTGCGCATCATCTGTTAAGTTTTGTATAAGTAGGTTTGTTAGTTTGAAATAGTTAATAAAATATGCCTCTTCAAAGTGAGGACAGGTGTGTAACATTACATAGTTACTTCAACCCTGATGAAATATTGTTGTACCAAGTTAGATCTTGCTTGTGCAATGGTGAATGGTATCAGCAACACTAAGTGGTAGGTCTGTCTTCAGTTGAGGAATGTTTTGACAGAGGATTACTAAGATTCGAAAGTGTAAATCCAAACAATAGGCATTTATATGTTGTACTACTGAAATGCAGTTCGAGCAAAAACTGTATATTCATTTCTTTTATCGACGGAGCTTTGCCCTGGTTGCATTGACTGGAGCAGTAGCATCGTTTTGCTCCATGTTTACTATTTGTTACTAATGGCGTGAAATAGTTTACTTGCTGGATCCTCAATCTGTGCTCAGGGAAAAGTCCAGTATGAGTGGAACTGGAATAAAGGACTCGGTTTTTTGAAGGAATAATTTATACTTACTATAAAATTTACTGTGGTGCCACGTAGCACCTAATGAGTTTTTTAAATTTTTTTATATATTGAATAAAATATTTTATTTTTATCTTTTTAAAAACTTTAGATGGACTCCGTTTGATATTTTTATTTTACAAAATTTTTTCGGTCCTTTCATTTTTATTTTTTTTTAAATTAGATAAATTTATTTGAAAATAATATTAATGGAGATAGTCACATGGCATCTGGATTTTTTTTTCTTTTTCAACCTTTTGTATTTTTAGTTTTATTTTTTAAAAATCTATACATTAAATTTTGTAAAAAAAAAAGCCAATAAAAGTGTAGCATAACATTTTTTTACTATTTTTTATGATTTTATTTTTTTAATTAGATAAATTTTATAATAAAATAAAAATAAAAATAATAAAATAATTTATATCTAATAAATTTTAATTCACCTTAGGAGCATTTTTTTTAAAAATTTAATATCAAGTCAAGTTTTATCTTTTTAAAAATAAGGTTTGAGTGAAGGTGATGGCAGATTTTAAATGTTTTATCCCACCCAAGATATATAAAAATATATTTATTATTTATTATTTATTTTAATTTTAATTATATATATTATATTAATAAAATTATTATTTAATACTTTAATTTAATAAAAAAATTATATTTATACATATTTAATATGTAATTTACATTAAAAATTTTTATGAAACTATACTAAATTTTAATAATTTAATTAATTTTGAATTATTGTGGGTCGAATGTGAACTATAAATTTATGTTTCAAGTTGAGATTTATTATAAAAAATAATTATTCAATGTCGGATCAAAATGAAATCAAGTTGATTTGTTAAAAAAAAAGATTGGAATCGAGATGAGCATAAATTTGTCAGAACAAGAACAATACCCATTGTCATCTTTAAATGGATTTGTCCACGTGTGCATCTCCATTTAGCTTTTTTTATTTATATTTATAAAAATAAATTTTAAAAAATAGATTTGAATTTAATTTGTTATATAAGTTATTAGAATGAAAAAGTGCATACATTATGCCTTTCGAGAAGTGTATACATTATTTATAAATTAATTAATAAAGTTTTATTGATTTATCATAAAATATAAACAAAATTATATTAAATCTATCATAAATTATTAATTACAAATAAAAAATTTAAACCTATAACAACGTGTGAATATAATGCTAGTATAATTAATAAATACTCATAATTTAGTTTAAATGGAATGGCTTTATGGAGTAGATTGCGAGAAGATGTATGCTGCTGTATCATGGATGTATTATGGATCGAGATTTAATTTTTAAGTTTGTACGATTTTAGGATTTGGGTATAGATTCATTCTATATCTTAGATCAATTTAATTATCACGATTTTTTTGTGAGGTATTGTTTACTTTGACCTCTCATTAACCTCATGATTTTATCTCACAAAAAAGTTATGGTGTGAACTCTTATATTTTATGATCAATTTTAGTACATAGTCGATGTGAGATACAAGACTTCTCTTTAGGTCTGTGACATCATCTTTCACTCCAACGAGAGTCTATTGTCCTTGGTGGCATGTCGCTTGTACTCCCAAAACTAGTTCTGATATCATTTCTCATAGTCCGAGATTTAACTTTTAGGCTCGTGCGGCTCTAAGATCTGGACATAGACTCATTTGACGTCTCAAATCAGTCTAACTGTTATGATTCATATCTTTGTGATGTATTATCCACTTCAGCTCCCTTAGTTTTACGGTTTTGTTTCAAAAAAGGTATTTCACAAGAAAGTGACGGTGTGAACTTTTATATCTTATGAATAATTTTAGTACACAATCGATATGAAATTCAAGACTCTTTTTTAAGTCTATGACAGCTAGATAAAGATAATAACAATTTTGATTGGATCAAATTTGTTTAATTTTTTAAAATAATACATAATATTATAAAATTTTAAAATTCGATTCGAATTCAAATTAATTTTTTTTAAATTCGATATGAATTAAAATTTACAAGTTCTGTTTAGTTCATCGATTTTTAAAATTAAAATTTTTTTATATATTTTAATAAAAATTTTAATATATTTATATATAAAATCATTATTTTTATTTTATAAAAATTTAAAAAATATATAAAAATTAATAAAAATATATAATTTGATTTGATTCAATTTTTTTTAAAATTTTTTGTATCTCAATCCAAATTTAATATATATATATATATAATATCTTATTTTAATTTGAACTAAATTAAAAAAATTTATCTAAACCAAACAAAAAAAGATATAATTTAAAATGGATTTTACCGCTTTCTTAATTTTTTTTCTCGCACCTGCTGCTCGGTTCTTGAATTTGTCGTTAAGGCCAAAAAAAACCGAATTGGTTTCGTCTTTGACGTTGAGGGCACAGGCATTGTGCGTGAATGAAAAAAAGAAAAAGTAAAGATTTTTGTGGGATAGAAAAATAAAAAATCGTAGGAAAAAGGAAATTAGATCCCGGGGAAGGCGCGACACGAGTGAGTTGAGTTGTCTTAAGGCGCACAAACAGCGAAAGCCAACTACTAACTACCAAACACGGAAACCCCCAACCAGTTAGGACTTTAAATTGGGGAGAGCCTGTTTTCAAATCAATTATCTCCTCTTCTTCCCTTTCTTCTTCTTACATTCGTGGAAGCAGTCCACAAAAGAGAATAAAAATATCGTATCTTTTTCTTTTTTTTTTTTTTGTATTTTTCAGCGTAAACTCAAAAAGTCCCACCAACATCAAACACCCATCTTTGATCTTTTGCCGCTCCCCAAAATCCTTTTTTTGTTTGTTTTGTTTTCCACTGCATCCATCTTCAAAGATATATCTCAGGTAATGATTTTCTTTCATTTTTTTTTTTTTTTTTTTTAAGGAATAGGAAAAAGCGATCTTAACATTAGCAAATTGGTGTCTTTTCTTCCTTTCAATCCAGATTTAATGATGGATGATCCTCACTTGTTTTCTTAATTGGTCTTTTACTTTTTGAACATCGGATGATCCATTTCGTGAATAATATATAATTTATTCGATATGGGGTTGTTGAACAAATTCAATTTACCTTAATTGTTACGGTCTCCTTTAATTAGTTGTTGTTACTCCTTATTCCCTGAATCTTAATCTTAGGTCATTACCATGACTCAAACAAAGAGTTTCCTTTCGTCTCTGTCTCTTTCTTCCCCCCAAATACAGGCAGATTAAGCCATGCGTTAATTAAATTTTATTAAGAAAACAACGCAATTGCAATGTTGATCAATCAGTTGCGTGGTTGCGTTTTTGTGTTTCTTTCTTCTTGATTTTCACCACTGAATCTTTCATAATGTCAATATGATGTTATCACAATTGAATGAGAACCGATGATCAAAACATATTCTGTCTGATTATTTTATTTTGGCCAAGAATTATTTCTGATTATTTATCAACCATTTTCACATCCATAGAATGTTATTCATTCTGTTAAGCTTCCGACTCTGGCAGCTTAGCATTTGACACCCGTTTTAGGTGGTTTTATACCGTGGAGGAGTTCTCTATATCGGCTGAGTTACACTATGAGGAATGGAGCACAGCACCTTGGTGAATGTTCTAGCTCAACCTCTTGGAGCAGTCAGCAGGATACTGAGGATGACCAGATGATTGCTGTTGTGTTATCAGAAGAACTCGCCAAGTTAGATGGTTCTGTTGCTGGACGCCTGTCTGGTCTTGCACCTGTTCCCGTATGCCGCCCCACCTTCCCCTCCCCCCCCCCTCCCTTTTTTTGTTGATTTAGTTTAACTTCCCTCCACTTATGAAGCTTTTATCTTCTTCATAGATCAGTCTCTCTTATTTAGCTCTTTACTGGATTTCACTTTAAAAGTAATTTCTTGTAGTTTTTGTTTTGTTTTCCCTTGAATTCAAGGAAACAGTCTGCCCAGTTCTCATTAAGCAATCATTACCTCTAAGCAATGATGCATTTGCTGTTTCTTGTTGTTTTATCTTTTATTGGTTCTGCCTTTTCTTAAGGTGATGGCCACGATGTTTTACCGCAAATGAAGTTTTTACTGCATTATGAAAGTTGTCCGATCTGCACGGTTGTAGCTTATTAAATAAATTCTGTTACTGCAATATTTTATTGCTTATCGAGTGATGGGTTTTTTTTTTTTTTTAAATGTAAATTTCAGCATGTTCCACGCATAAATTCCTATATTCCAAACATAAGTGATGCAAGTTTGGATCACCAACGTCTTCTACAGAGGTATGTCTTATGCTTAACAGTTTCAAAAGCGAGGTTTAAGAGCTTCTTAAATGTCTTCTAATCTTCCTTCAATGGGAAGATGTTGAAAAATATCATGGATATACATATCTATAGAGCAATTGTTGATCAAAATTGGAAGACATCTTGATTGGTATACTTTGTATTCATTGATAAAACTGAAGAATTTAACTGATTTAATTACGGCTTTATTTGGTTGGGTTTTTCTATTTGCTTTTTACTTTTAGAAGCAAAAAATAAAAAAGTGAGTTGGATACTAAAGCAAATAATTTTTTGAAAGATTGTACACAAAATATGTCATTTTTTTAGGTAACAAAATGCATGATTCTACTGCTATATAGACTTTATGTTATAATTGGTTTACATTTTAATCATTTATCCATTTTAAATCAATTATAATATTGCATTTGCCTTTTTTTATAGCCATTTTTTAAAAAATGTAGAAATATCAACCAAACGGAATCTAAATGTTTATATGAAAGGAATTATTCAGACGATGCAGAAAGAACGTTCAAGTGAGAAATTAAGTAAAAACCACATGCGATTTAAGTCATGGTTCTTCAGAATTGTACTTGACTTTATCTACTGCTACTGCTTTTAAAAGTCTGCCTTATTTGGTGTACCAAAATATCTTATTTTTTTGACATGATAGTAGGAGATGAAGTTATTCTGTTATTTTCTTATCCTGGTAGATGTTACCATGCTAGAGTATCTTAGGATTGTGCGACAATGAATCATCTATGAGATCTGATATCTAAGATAGATACTATCCCTGAATTCTTGCATGCTCAGCACCGAGCAGTCTACCAGCTGGACATTTCTCCTCCCATATTATTTATTTTATTCACTATTTTTTAAGCTCATGAGTCCTAATGGATACAGTCTATGCTTTACCTCAAAGGCTGTCTGCAGCAAGACATTTGTCTCTTAAACCACTAGTTCTTGAATGTGTTTGTGTGTTTTTGTGCATGGGACTCATAAGTAGTGCATATACTTAGTGGAATATTACGGCCTATGCAACACTCATAAGTAGGTCATTTGACTCGTTTATTAATTGTTTACTTTAAGCTAGCTTATGCAACATGATTTTCTTTGGGTAAGGTTGTAAACTAGAGCCTATTTTCATCGCTACTTGAACCTTAGCTTCAACCTCAATGTTTGTTCCTATGTCTAGTGGACATCTTGAGGGTTTACCTCTTTTATCTTTCTTTTAGAATATGATTGAGAAACTTGTGATTAAGCTTATGCTAGGATGTCTTTGCCCAGAGCTTGCTGCACTTCTACAGTTTCTTAGCTTTATGTCTTGGGTAAAAGTATTTGGTAAATGCCTCATTTTTCTCAGGCTCCATGTTTATGGTCTATATGAAGTGAAGGTCTCCGGTGATGGAAATTGTCAGGTATCCATTGTAAAAAGTAATGGTGAAATTTAATCTCTCTCATATTTATTCACCTCTTTTATAGTCAAGCTTTATGACTAGTTATTCAACGTACATCACCTTGCTGTGCAGTTTCGTGCACTTTCAGACCAGATGTACAAGTCGCCTGAGTATCACAAGCATGTGCGGAAAGATATTGTTAAACAGGTACAGTGTATTTGTGGCTTGACTGGTGGATTTGGGTCTAGCTATTTTATGTTCAACTAAATTTAGGCCCTTATTGTTATGCGTTGAGATCATGAAGCGACCTTGCAGGGATTGAAAATTTTCACCAAACGCATTGGTTTAGTTCACAATAGGAGACCTATGTACTGTAGGAGATGAGATATTAACTTCATAACCTATTTACAATACTCCCGGAGAAAAATACCATAAAACCCAGTTGAAATTTCAACATCTCATACACCTTAGTATATATCTCTATCTTGTCACTCAGCACCACTCTTCTTTTTTGTTCTCCCCCGAATTTTTTATTTTGAGGTAGTGGCTGTCTCATCGAGAATTTTGCAAAATACTTTTGCTGCAGCTTCTTCCAGCTCCATTCTCCTGTCTCAAAATCATAACCATAGCAGTTATCAAAATTTACCTCTCTTCTCATGACATTTTACCATTCAAATTGAAGATATTTTCCGCCTATGACTTTGATTATGGCCAAAGTACCACAACTATTCAACCTATGCAAACTATCTTGGACTTACAATGATGGCAACTGCCCCAACTCAGCATAAAGTCATTTAGCCACTGACAGTGTACAGGCTCTTGTTTCTGGTATCACCCTGAGCAACCCCAAGGGAAACACTATTCTCTGACCAGCAAATCATACTTTTCTGCCTTTCCAGATGTTAACTGTCAATCTTATCCATATATTTAGATTTTTTCTTTTTTTTTTTTTTTCAACTTATTTGATCAACTGTTTAAAAATTCACCAACCAAAAATTCCCTGAAAAGTAAATTGATGGAGTTTTAGATTGTGAAAGATATGTTAGAGGCTGGCTGAAAATAAATATTAAGTACTTAATTTTAAATGATTAATTCTTTTTCTTATTTTTATTCCTTTTGCATATTCCAGCTTAAAGACCACCGTAACTTGTATGAAGGATATGTTCCTATGAAGTACAAGCGATACTGCAAGAAAATGGCAAAGTATGTTGCTTCATTAAGTGCCTTCCAAATACTGCTTTTATGTGACAAGTGTTACTTGAATGGATGCATTTATATTTGAATTTAGTCAAACTTGATTAGTTGCTCAAATTGAAGAATTTTGAATCTAATTAACCTTATCCTGTAGGTCTGGAGAATGGGGGGACCATGTTACCTTACAAGCTGCTTCTGATAAGGTCTTATATTCATTCATAAAAACTGTCATAATTTGCTGCCTCTTTTTATCATACTGTTCTAGTAGGTAGTCATGATATTTAATTTTTGTATCATATGATTACTCTGACAGTCTTTGTGGGATTTCTTTCTCCTTTCATATCTTTAATCCTCCATGCACAATGTAATGCATGGAAATCAGCATACAGATGATGTAAATACCATTCCAACTCAAGTATTTTGTCTCATATCTCAATGGAAGACATTGATTATGACTTCTGTCAAAGTTGTGTTCCTTTTACAAGTTTTCATCTGTATTTTAGCCTTTAATATTTCTAATATGCTTATAGATATTTCTTAGATGTTGGCTTCCTTGGTAATTGTTAGAAATTATCTGATAATTATGATGCAGTTGTGAAAATATTGTTAGAAATATCTGAAGTATAGATTCTTTTTTATTATTATTTCTAAAAATTCCTCAATTCCTCTAAGTGGTGAAGCATCTTCTGAGTTTGTAATATCCCAAGTAAAATGGCTCAATACTCTGTTGAGCGTCATTCCAGTTCATCATATCAGTGTGTGATATATATGATATTTGTTTATTTGCAGTTTGCAGCAAAGATATGCCTTTTGACATCATTCAGAGATACTTGCTTTATTGAAATTATGCCACAATTCCAGGCTCCTAAACATGGTAAGACTGTAAAAAGATTGATAAAAAAGGAAAAAACATTGATGTCATACCTGTAACAGGAACTTTCTATTTTTTAAGTTGTTACTCCTCATACTCTCCCTGTCCTTATCACTCTGTGTGTGTGCATACATGGGTACACTTTTATTCAAACAATACTGAGCATTTTATTTAACGAGACCGTTGGTTGGTTAAGTTGAATTTCTTTTTTGTTTTTACCCCTTCTTACTAAAAATAGTAAGCTGCAAGGAGGATTCTCCCACTTTGACTTTATGTATTTTTTAACAAGGCACATGTGCTGTACGGATACCTTTAGGCCTGTTATCATTCTAACTAACTGATCAATATGCTTTGTACCCATTGATATGAGGTTCAAGAATCTTTTTGATCGCCGTGAATACATTCTGATGGTTTTCTTCTCTATATCTATTAATGCAGAGTTGTGGTTGAGTTTCTGGTCTGAGGTCCACTACAACTCACTATATGAGATCCAAGGTCTGTTTATGGTTAAAACATAATTGTTTTTTTTTTTTGGCCAAAAAACATGATTGCTTAGGTAGAGCCTCTAAGGATGTTGGGTTTTCCAGAGTATAATAACATCTCGTTTCCAGGTGCCCCAATTCAGAAGCCAAAGAAGAACCATTGGTTGTTTTAGATTAGCATAATGTTGGAGAGGATATAGCAGTCATGCTGCTGAAAATTTTAGCACTGTGCACACTATGCTTTATATTGGTACAGATGATATTGAGTTTTTGGTCCTTATTACCCTAAAAATGTATAGGGCTGCAAACAAACAAATATGAACGAACAAACATATGTTTGTAATTTGTTCGATTATTTTTATGTTTAGAGATAGTTAGGCTCAATTTATATTCGATAAGAAAATTATTTTGTTTGTTTAAGTTTGGTTCATTTAAATGATGGGATATTTACATTGAATTTGTGTTCAATTCAATTAAGTTGAATTCGTTTATGAATATTAAATAAATATGTTTAGAAATAGATATAAACAAATATATTCAGGAACAATAAATAAACTAAAATTAAATAAATTTAAATAAGCAAAGTTTAAACGAACATAAATGAATTCAAATGATCATAAACGAATCTTAAAATACGATTTGGATAGAGGATAAAAATATAATTTTATTATTCTTATTATAAACGAGCAGTACATGAGTAGTGAATGAATAATAAATGAACGGGTTTTAAATGAACTTTAAAAAAGTTTGTTTGCGAATATAAATACACCAAATAGATTTTTGATAATGTTTGGTTCGTTTTGGTTCGTTTAATAAAGGAACATAAAATTGTTATCTAAAATGGTTTGTTAAACTTAATAAATAAACATAAACAAATAACAATTGAATATATTCACGAACTATTTATTAAAAATTATATTTATTTACACCTCTAAAAATATATGATGCTTTTGAGATATACATACTTATTACATTAATTAAGTTTAAAATTACTTTAGTGAACAATAAAATGCTACTAATAAGCTATCTTAAATAAATATCTAATTAAAATCTATTTTATTATATGTTTAATTACCTTTATAGTTATACTATTAAATTATTAATACTGTTTACAGGATAATAACTCCAAATAAGCAATATCAACCCTTAAAATAAATATACATAAATTAAAATAACTTATTCATTAATGAAGTATTATAGTTTGATTCACCTCATTAATGAGTTGTCATTATTTGATTCATTTATAGTGTATAAAATCTATGCACTAACAATGTATCAAATATAAACTCTATTTTATTTTGTTATCCTTTCTGGAAGGTGGACTTTGTTTCCTAATAGATCATTTTTTCTAATTCTGCTGTAATATATAATAATGGTATATTTAATCCAATATTCAATCTAATATTGATAGAATATAATAATTAAAAATAGAATAATATAATTCTATTTGATTATATTTTAATCATTCTATTTGATTATATTTTAATCATATTAAAAATGATATTTTAATTTAATCATATTAATATTTAATAATATTAAATTATAATAATATTATTATAATTATAAAAGTAAATTATAAATATATTTATAATATTTATAATTATTTATAATTTATCTCTATATTATATATTATATATTTTTATTTTATTTTTATTCTATTATATGTTATCTTTATTCTATTAGTCTATTCTATTTAGTATTATATATATATATATATATTAGTATAATATTAGTATGCTAAGTATAATATTATTATATTTTTTATTTTTAATATTTTTTAGTATATTTTTGTAGTGGAATAATTTTTAGCCCTACAATATTGAACATGTTTGTCAAGGTCATGCGATTTATCGTTGACCCTCAAGCTTAGGTTCTATTCGATTTGTTGAAATTGACTTTCAAAAAATATTTTATAAAAAATATTTATATTTTTTAAAAAGTAAAGATTTTTAGTTATAAATTTTTTGATGAGTTAATTAAGAATGTTTATGTTATTTGGTTGTTTTTTAAAAAATCTACTTTTTAAAAATAATATTAATATAACTATTAAAAAAATAAAAATGATTTATTATTAAAGTTATTGAAATTATTTATTATTAAAATTATTAATATTTAAGAATAATTATATTTTAATAATAATATTTAATATTGAAATATTATACTAATATAAAATACTTAAAATAAAATTATTTATTATTCTTTATATTAATATTTTAAAATATTAAAATAATATTATTATTCTTAAAATATTATTTTTGTTAATATTAAAAAGGAAATATTTATTATTAAAATATTTATGCTATTAAAATATTTATATTTTATATTAAAAGTATCTATTATTAAATCATAACAAAAATCTTTTTATTATATTTATTATTAAAATAGTAATATAAATACCTTAATATATAAAAATATAAATTGTATATTTTAAACTAAAAATGATAAGAATTATTAAAAATATTCATATTAAAAAATAATATTATTGTATTATTTAACATTAACTATTAAAATAATAAAATAATATTATATATATTATTATTATTAAAATAATAATTATAATACTATTATTATTGAAATACTAAAAATATTTATGTTTAATAATATACCAAAAAAATATTTTGACATTGAAATATCAAAAGATTTTTAATGTCAATATTTTAATTTTTTAAATAAAATTAAATAAAATATTTTTATTAATATAATATTTTAAATTGAATCAAATCAAATTTGAACTTAAAATATTCTGATCAAAATCTTGTTTGAGTAAAATTATAAAATATTTAAAATTAAAATATTAAAAAATTTATAATTTTAATAATTTAATAATTTAATTAAAATTAATTAAAAATATCATTTATTAATATAATAATATTTTGGGTTGGGTTAAATTAAGTTTGAGCTTAAAACAAATCATGTATAAAGTTTGACTTAAATAAAATTATACTTAAACACATTAGAAAAGTAGTTCTACTCATAAATAGCTTTTTTTTTTTAAATTGTCTTCCTCTTTTCAAAAGAGTAAGACAATTTTTAGAAAAATTACCTTACTTTGTTTTAACTAGTAAATTATTTTTCGTTAACCAATCAGTTGTTTGAACCAAAAAAACTTAAAAATGCAAAAATCATTTTTTGAAAATAATTTTTTGCAAAACACATGGAAGATTTCAAGAAATATTTTGATTTGAATTGACAAATTAAATCTTTATTTAATTTACTCTACTTAACTTAGAAAAGTCTTTTACCTTATTTACTTAAGAAAAATATAGATAAAAATTTCAAATGTTTGATATTGTTGTGAAAAGTGTTGTGAGTATTTGAAATATTTAAAAAGATATTTATAAAATAATAAAATGTTAAAATATATGAATAGTATAATAAATTTCATTCCAAACACAATTTTCATTATAAAGCACATTTCAAGAAATTTTTTGATTTGAATTGACAAATTAAATGTTTAAATTGAAAAATTATAAAGTTTTAAACTGAAAATTTATTTTTTTGCTGTTTGTTAACATCTAATTTTATCCAAATAATTTCGTGACGATTTTCATAAATTATCATTGGAGGAGTTGGGTTTTAATTAATTCAGTCAATTTTATTGTTTGAATATGCCTTTTGAGTTATTTAAAGTCTGGCTATTCCAAGTTGCACTGTAAAATATGATCGGATGAATTTCACTTATGTATTTGATTTGAAAGTGCAAAATTATGAAAAATCCCTTTAACGCTAAAATTATCAAAGTATCCTTAAATTAAAAAAATTGAAAATTGGCATTCTCGAATGCCTTTCTTTCCCTAATTCCCTCTATCCCTTTGTCCCAAGACCAACATCATTCCTCAACACTATCATTTCCATCCACCCCCACGACAACATTCTCTCCTTTCTAAAACCACTACCTCTTCATTTCCTACTAGAAGTGGCATCAGACCCATCGCCTAATACTCGGCCAAGAACATAGAGACCTCCAACATAGCACGCCTGAAAAAAACAACGTAGACATTTTTAAATGCATAGCCACCAAAAGTTTTCTTAGCCTACTGCCACCCTGAACATCGCCCAGAACAACCCATACGGACGTCATTTGGATCCTCTCGGGACTCACCTCACCGAGGACTTCATCTACCACTGCAACACACTTTTTGAACACACACAGAAATCCTCCCTAATCGAGACCAGCTCACCATCGTCACCTTCACGACCACACCCGAAAACCACCTTTAAACACATCACATAGGCAACAGTTCATCATAGACACTCTACAACACAGGTCATTCACGCCACTAAAGCCCTTCCCAAAACAGTCACGAGCAAACAAAATCACCATAAGCTTCAGCCAGAACCGAAAGTCCTACCCTCTCTCTCCAACGACCATACCCAATACACGTCTTCACCATTTTCACTTCTCACCCCACTCTTAGGATCATGATAGTTTTGATGCTAGTTGTTAGGCAAAAAGTTATAATACAATCAAACATCCATGTCAATAGAAGTGCAATTAAACAATAAATCAATAACACAAGAGATCATAATTTAATGTGATTCAGCTCAACTAACTTTATTTAAATAGGTGAGAAAAAAAATCCATTAGATATAGATGATTACAAACATACAGTTAAATAAATCACTCAACAATCAATACCCATAGATCTTTTTATTCTCCTATAGTCTTATAAAGTATTTTTAATTTAAATAAATACATGTCCATATGCACCTTTTGTGCCATACGAACCTTTTATTCTCTTTTAATCCACTCAAATATACACGCTCATAAAGATGTCAATTTCTTAGAGTCTTAAAGGATATTTACCCAATAAAACCTTACAATTGTTTTATATTTTTTTTTATACCTAACTTAATAGAGATTTCACGTATTTATAAGTATATAAACTTGCTTATCAATAATCTTTTTCTTTTTAAAATTCTTTTCCTGCAAATCTTCTTTTCTATTAAATAATATTTAGTCAATTTCAAATAAATCTCTTATGGGATTTAAGTTAATATTCACAACAATCTTTATCTTGACTCAAATTCTATTAATAAATAATTTTCATACTAGACATGTTTGGCTACACCTACAATAGAAGTCTTGTAATAAGCTTTCTGTGTGTTTTCATGCTTCACATAAATTGATATATCAAAACACAAACTTGAACTCTTTCATTGAATTGAGCTTTTTTGGACTTATCTTTTCTCACTTTTTGAATCTATGTTTTGATACCATTTGTTAGGAACATGATAGTTCTGATTCTAGTTGTTAGGATCATGATAGCTTTGATACTAGTTGATAAGCAAAAAACCTCAATCCAATTAAGCATTCATGCCAACAGAAGTGAAATCAAACAATTAATCAATCATATAAGAAAAATAATTTAACATATTCAACTTAATCGGTTTACGTCTATAGTTGAAAAAAAATTCTATTAGTTGTAAAAAATTATAAATATATAATCTCAATCAATCACTTAACAAATAAATCTTTAAAGACCTTTTCATTCTCTTTTAGTCTTATTGAGTATTCTCAATCCAAATAAGCATATACCCATGCGCACATATGCATTATACGGAGCCCTCTCATTCTTTTTAGTCCACTCAAACACACATATATAAAGATGTCTTATCCTATAGTCTTATAAGGTATCTATTTAATAAAATCCTATAATTTTATTATATCATTTTTTTATACCTCATTTTATAAAGGCTTTACCTATTTATAAGTGTACAAACTTGCTTATCAAAACTCTTTTTTTTTTCTTAGAATTCTTTTTTTGCTAGTCTTCTTATCTATTAAACAATATTTGATCAATTTTACATAAATCTCTTATGATATTTGAGT